GAGTGGAGTTTGCATGTTCTCCCCGTGTCTGCGTAGGTTTCCTCCGGGTACTCCGGTTTCCCCTACCACTAAAAATATGTACAATAGTCTGGCATGCGCCTCCTGTACTGGCGACCCCGCTCCCATCTCTGTGTGAAGTGAGAGACAAATATCCAAAATCAACAATTGTAAACTGCTTCGAGACTCAGATCTGCAGTGAAAATGCGGTATATAAATAAAGATTACTTACTACTTCCTTTCTCTCTCCTTGTCTACCTTTTCCTCTACCTCTTGCTCTGCCTCCAGACTTGCAAAGTTCTGAAAATGTCTAAACTGAGGCCTGTTTGTGGCTGATGTAAGTCAGTGTTTTCATGTGTGTGTCTCAGTGTTTTCAATCACACAATGTGTTTGGTATTTTGAATAGATGTGTTTTCCCAATGATAACTCAGGATTACAATTATGAAGATAGTGTCCTATGTATGACACAGTGTGTAGTGAGCAGGAGAAAGTGTGTTGCAGAAAGAGAAAGTGTGTTGCAGAAGAACAGAGTGTGTTGTAGGAATGAAGTAAAGTAAAGTGCAATGCAGTACTTTTGTTTAAGGAATGGTTAGACTGTGTTTTAAAACAAAAGCTTCAGGTTCAGTAACTTTGGTCTAGACGTGTGTCTATAAGGTTCAAGCAATAGGAAAAAACTATAACTCTCAAATGTTCGCAGCAGCTGAACGTGTCTTCATCTTTTCTAACATTCAACCCTCCACAATTTCATAAGAACACAATTTGATGCTTTGGGCTGAGTAAGGTCCACTCTTTTTCACTCTTCTGTTTGAAAAAGCTGATCTAAAGTGACAGATAGAGGCCAACAATACATGCATGTGAAAACTATAGCATATTGTTTTTTCATTTCTTAACATTTATGGACAATGGTCACCAACGGCTGTGTGTTTGTTATCATTCAAACTGTCTGTAAAGTCCTCAGAAACTACTGCGGTTGACATCTAGGGAAATACAAACACATATTGAATTGAATTGAAATTTGGATCCAGGAACTAACAAGATGGATTTTATTACACAGTTCCGCCTTTGTTTTTTTGAAATTAGGTACCTCAGCTTTAAGGACTGTGTGCATGAGAGAAAAGCTTCAGCGTCTTTACACCTGATGCCTCCAGGACAAGCACATGCCGACAGAACATATGGTCCAAGTATGTGGGCTATGCAGCGACTACATGGATGATCACACCTGGGAGACAAACCCAGCTGAGGTCAGGCCTGTCACTCTCAGTGCGGCGCCCTCCATCTTGAATTTATGATGGCGTTGGAGAGATCAGCTGCTCTATATAAACATGCAGCCACATATCCCAGCCGGCGAGCGCTTCTAGACACACACTCGCATAGATTATCTTGACTGTTTATACAGAACTGGGGCTCTGATCTGATAGGCCTTATCTGATGTGCCAGAGCTCCTCATTAAATCAAGTGGAACGAATTCTCACGCACCTGTCTGAGCAGCCAGTTTTCTATGGCTCAAAATACTGAATATTTTAACAACTTGTAATAACTTATGATTGCATTAAATAAAACTGTGCTATGGCCTTCAGATGGCTGTAACTATAGCTGATCCAAATACACACTGGATCAAGTTTCAGCTGCATTCATTATAAAGTAAACACAATCATGTATATTTCAATGGAACCTGAATGCGTCAGGGCAAATACTAAAGAGTTTGTGATTCCTTAAATTGTTGTCATATATTTCACATTTTAAAAAGTGAAAACACTCAATAGAACATGTTACTGTTTAACTAAAGGTCGACAACTTGTTGGTTTGAGCTGATCCCACGCTGCTGTGATGAAATCTGAAGTTGTTGATAAGTGAGTTTCAGAGACGCACGCAATGCTTTCACACAGCACTACTGTACACTTTTTCACAAAAATGTTCTCATGCAAAAAGCCAATCTTGGCTTGAAATCTTAGCTTTGATGTACTTTTCAGCCATAGAATCAGATACACATCTTTTCCTGAACAGATAAGTTGAATGTGTTATTCCCTTAAAAGTCAAAGATGTAACATGTGTGAGAGCAAATGTTATCGTTTGAGTGGAATTATTTTGCAATTCTAATTAATACATTATAGTTTGTACCTTTAATAGGATATATATATTTATGTTGTGAATGCTACTGCGATGTTTTATCCAGTCACTACTGAACACGAGCCCAGGTCTTGTCTAAAAACTCACGGAGACCGAACCTTTTCTGTTGCTGTCCCCAAACTGGTCATCAGAGCTGCTCCTTCACTCGAGGTTTTTAAATCTAGTCTAAGACACATTTGTACATTTGTCTTTTATTTCTTATCTATCGTGCATTAAGCACTTTGGGAAGCTGGTGTTGTTGTAAATGTGCTATACAATTAAAGCTGACAAATATCTTCCTAAAACATGAATGTGTTTCCATACAAATGCTAAATAAATGAAAATAGAGAGTGATTAAGATATCGTTTATTTGTCCCACAGTGGGGAAATGTCAGTGTTGCATCACAAGTTACAGAGCAGGAGGAATGAGGAGCACACAGCACAAGATAAATACACAATAGCTATAATAATTCAAATAAAACAAAATCTCTAACTCTAGCATCAAAGAAACAGGTATAAAATCTCTGTATTGAACAAAATAAACAAGTATAACCCTAGAACACTATTGCCGGGTGATTTTCACCCGAGCAAAAAAAATTATGTGATTTTCATTATGCTGCGTTTGTCTGAGTGTCATGGGTCTCTGGGTAGCTTCAGCATTGTCTTTGACATCTTTGATGGCATGGGTGTTTTCCTAATCCAAAACACACTTTTTCCTACAGGCACATGCTTGGGTGATTTTCACCCAGCAATAGTGATAGAAGGTAGGGTAGGTTTTGGGTGAATTTTACCCAGGGTTAGTGTTAGTGTATAAAATCACACAATCTTGCCCCCTTTTGAGGTTGACAACATTCAGGACTGCCAGATTTACTTTGCCTACTTCAACTACAGCTTTGCTCCTTGGTGTCCTTGGCATCCAAGCAAGTGAGTAACACATAGCTAAAGGTTGATTTACCTTAGCAATTGTTAGCTAACTAAAACGTTTTTTTTTTGCTTGAAGCTACATTACCTAGCTAGCATACTGTGCATTTTCTTTCAGACAAGTGCTACATTCTCAAACAAAATAGCCAGCAGATGAAGTTGAGGCAGTCCTACAGAAAGAAAAAATATGTCTAAAAGAAAACCAGTAAAGAAGTACTTGTCACAGAAGGAAGTACTGGAGATTCTGTTCAGGGAAAGCAGTGATGAAGATGTTGATAATGTGGAAGCAGAAGAGATGTATTACAGCGACAGTGACATTGACTACATTCCAAAACCGGGTGAGGATGATGAAAGTGATAGTGATGGTTTTGAAACTAGCACTTCAAGTCATCAGACAAAAAAAAAAAAAAAACAATATCAGGATTCCGGTAGACCACACACCAGAAAAATTGTCCCAGGACCTGTTGCCTCCACGTCTACTGCCCATCCTACGTCCCGTGCCACACCTGATGCTTTTCCTGCCAGTCACGATGCTTCCCCTGCCACAAATACTACTGCCCCTTCTACACCTGATGCTGTTGCTGCCAGTCCTGATGCTTCTCCTGTCACATCTCCTGCTGTGAGGAGAGGATGCTCCAATGAGGATGATGGCATGGCCTATGTTGTGAGACTCGAAAATATCTCCTACACAAGTGCATCTGGTTTCCGGTGGAGTTCTCGGCCTCAGACATCGGCTACTACTAGGACAACTGCACGAAACATCATGCCTTCTTTCACACCAGGACCAACACCAGAAGCATCAAATGCTGACACTCCTGAGAAGTGCTTCTCATTATTTTTTGAGGACAAAATCATTGACCAAATTGTGACATGGACGAACATCCGTATTGATGCTGAAGCTGTAAAGTATCGGAAGAGAACAGGAACTTTTCAGAGAACAACACCAGCAGAGATGCGAGCATTGCTAGGGATTTGCATCTTCAGTGGTTGCCAAAAGGACAACCATCTGTCTACTAAAGAAATGTGGAACCCTGCGACTGGTGCACCTGTGTACCGTGCTGCTATGTCTGAGTGTCGCTTTTCGTTCCTCCTTACCTGTCTGCGGTTGATGACCCTGACACACGACAGGAAAGACAGGCCATGGACAAATTTGCTCCCATTAGAGAAATATGGCAAATATTCATTGACAACTGTAAAAAGTTGTATGTGCCCAGTGAAAACATAGCTGTAGATGAACAGCTGCTGGGATTTAGAGGGAGGTGCCCATTTAGAATGTACATCCCCAACAAGCCTGCCAAATATGGTATCAAGCTTGTCCTTGCCAATGATTCCCACAGCAAGTACCTGCTGGCAGGAATACCATACTTGGGGAAACTTGCAACACAACGACAGGATGGACAAAGTCTTGACCAGTATTTCACCAAGGAGCTGACCAAGCAATATCACCATACCAACAGGAATGTGACCACTGATAACTGGTTCACCTCTGTGCCACTGATGATTGACCTGCTGGAGAACTGTGGCATGACCCTTGTGGGGACAGTAAAAGCAAACAAAAAGGAGATCCCCCATATGATGAGAGTCAAAGAAAATCGCACACCAGGCACCACTGCATTTCTCTTCACCAAAGAACTAACCTTGGTGTCCTTCCTCCCTGACAAAGCTTCCAAAAAGAAGGTTGTGCTGCTCATGTCATCCATGCACACACAACCAAGCATTGGACCCACTCACAAGCCAGAAGTGATTGAGTTTTACAACAAAACAAAGGGAGGTGTCGATACTTTCGACCAGATGTGTGCTCACTATAGCTGTGGAAGAAAGACCAAGAGATGGCCCCTGTGCGTGTTCTACGGCATGATAAACGCTGGTGTGATAAACTCATACATCATACACAAGGAGAATGCAATGAAGAGAGATGACACCTACCTGCAGAGAAGGCCTTATATGCAGGCTCTGGCACTGGCACTCATCAAACCATGGGCAGAGCAGAGGCTGCCCGCTTCAAATCTGTCACGTCAACTCAGAATCCTGATCTGTACCGTGCTCGACATCCCTTCCCCTGGTACTCTAGCCAGTGAGGAAGGACCAGTGGCAGCAGAAAGCAGTGGTGCCTTTGTAAGGTGTGCTGACTGCCCCTCAGGGTCGGACAGGAAGACACGACACAGGTGCCACGTCTGCCGTCGACCAGTGTGTCCGCGCCATTACTACCCTGCATGTACCGATTGCATGTAAGGAATAAGGCAAGTAAGAGTGGTCCTGGAATTGCATGTTGTCTTTATTTAGTGCAGTGGTTATGAATAACTATCACAAAGTGGTGATTTCCAAGAGAATTCATATGATGATGAAGTTATTTTAGTCAGCTTGTCATTTTTACCTATTCAAAATATGACATATTTTGTTTCTCTCTCCTGCAGCTATTTGTGTGTCAAGGACACTGAGCCTTCACCAGGGAAGTCTCAAATATCTTAGGAATGAGTGGAACAAAAACCAAGTTTCCATGTTCTTTTTTTTATTTTTTAGGAATTTTTTGTTCCCAAATTCCTGATTTTCCACTCGTTTTTGAGCATTTTTATGTGGACCCCTCATGATGCTTTTCTTTGATTTTGTTGGACATATGACAGTTTAAAATAAAAGAACACTACTAAAATTTGTCATGTATTGTCATGTTTTGATATATTTTGATGACAAGTACTTTTTATTGGGTGTATTATCTCGGGTAAAAATCACCCGGCGTTAGTGATGGTGTTTGGAATTTGAGCGATAGTGTTCTAGGGATAATGTCCAGATCGTACATTGTCGTGCACAGAATGAGGCTGTTTTCGTCTATAACTGTTGTGTGTTCTTTTGTGAAGAGAAATAACGAGCTAAAATGACAAATTATCAGTTTGTTTATGATTGTACTTTATGTTGTTAGATTGCAGTGATAGCTCCGGTCCTAACGTCGGCGTGTCGGGAGCGTGCCAGCGTCACAAAGGCAGAGCAGATGCCCGCATAGACTGGCACGTTATTGTGGCACGCCTGATAAGAGCTGCACAAACACAGCCCTGATGAGGGACGAGGCGCTGCAGGTGACAGGAGCCCACGCTAATACTGCTCTTATCCAGGGTTAGACTTTAATTCTATTCAGTTCTATTCATTTCAATGTATCCTTGTATTGCACTAAATCACAACAGTAGTTTTCTCAGAGGACTTAACAAAACCGTTGAAATCGCCAACACAGATCAGAGAATCAGTTCAAACACAACTAAGTTAAAACACAGGTATTGGTTCATAGGGAGAGACCAACGTCCTCCTATGGACCATAGATAGATTGATAGATACTTTATTGATCCCTGTAGGAGAAATGCAGGTGTCCAGTAGCAGCAGAAACACATCCACCCAAACAAACAAAACAATAAATAGATGATTCTACAAGTGGCAACAATAGTATTGATAATAAGCAGCAGTCCTTCAGGTCACAGCAGCAGAGGTGGAGCCGCTTGGTTTGGACCATTTTCCCTGCTCTGGTCCAAAGAAAAATGCTAAATGCTTCATTAGCATTTTCCAAAAGGTTAGCATTCCTCCAGTGGATTTCCACCTGATCCGCAAGGTTTTAGCCATGAATCATCTCTGCTCTGGTCTGGACCAGTGTAAAACCATGAACACTGCACTGCATCAACATCTCAAGTAGAAAAAAGCAAGAATTGTAAGAATTGTAAAACACAAAAACAACAACTGTTTCAGAACTACTTAGGACTTGCTGCCGTTTCCCGCGCATTCAAAAGTAATAAGGGGACATTGGTCAACTATGAAAGTAAAATATACTCTGTTTTACTTTCATGTGCTGAAAAATTCCCTTTTGATCACAAGATTAGTTTGTGTAACAAGATTCAAACTGTAGCTTCAGGTCCCTTTGAGAATTAAACACATGATTGATTAGAAACATTTTGTCTAAATTGCTACATTGTTTTATTGACAAGTTTATGACAGTGGCTCAGTTGGTAGAGCATTGGCCTTTGAGCCTGAAGGTTGTGGGTTCGAGCCCAACACGAGATCTTCTCCACCGACTCCCACTGACGTCTGTTGTCATTGTGTCCTTGGGCAAGACACTTAAATCCACTCCCCTTTTTTGTGTTAAACTGATAAATACCTGAGGTGTGTACTTACCACAGATATCAAAACTGCTGTTGTTCACTGAATTAGAACTAAAACCATGAACTAAAACCAGATCCAAGATGGCGCCCTATTCAAATGAATGGCTTGTGCTCAGTAGTGCATGTGGCACCATGGGTACGGAAAGATTAGCGGAACTCGCCTATATTTGGGCATCGTCTGGTCCTCCCAGTTTGGTGCAGTGGACAAGCTCCCATGATACTTTACAACAAATACGCATGTGTGGCTTTCATGCACGTGCACAGAGGGGCTCGGCTACGCTTTGACCAATCAGAGCTGCTGATCAGAGCGGGAACCAATCGAATCGAGCTGTTCCAGTAAAGTGTGGATTTAAAGAACAAGAAAAAAAGTTCAGGATGACAAGAGACACTAGAATCCCCACAAAATCCGACCTTTATGAAAGCTGTAGGTTCTCTGTCAGCTGAGGTCGAGCTGTTTTAGTTTACATTGAGTTCTATGAGACACTTTTCTGGGTAGCCTGTGTAAATTTAGTTTGCAGTACCACGGGCGCCCCTGGTGCCCGTGGGTGGGACAGCTATAAGCTAGTAATACACCATCCAGATATTATTATAGATACATGGCTAAAACACACATTTTTTGCCATCCGAAATCCAATGTACAGCTGAAAACATAACCAGGTAAATGTATGTGAAGCTGTTATTAGCTAATTGCTCCAGCCGTCAATATCTGTTGGTGTAGAACTGTTCTTGTAACTTTGGAGGTAACTAGAGTCTGCTGAGTCACTCTCTACTGGCTCAGAGTTATTTTGATTGACAATGTCGACAATTGACAATTGACAATTTACCCATCAACAAGTTCTACAGCATTGATTTCACACACAATTATTACAATAGCTGTGGGTTTGACATTTACAGATCGTTCCAGACCTCGCGACTTAAGAACCGTTTGTCTGAACAGGCCCCGAAGCACTCACCGGAGGAATTCAATAAGGTGACAATATATCCTCCATGACCACGCCTCGCACACAAACATAATACAATTGCTATAAATAACCCATCTTTGTTAGTTATGACCGAGGTTGCACACATCTCTGCCAGCGTCGCTATATAAATATTCCAGTGTTGTTTTCTCTGCGTAAGAGGTAGTTTCTTTTGACATCACACAAAAAACTGTCAAGCCTTTTCACATACCGGAGAAGACCTGTCGCGCCAGGCCCTGCTGACGCAAAGAGTTTGAAAGACATTTTTAGATTAGGTTAAATGGAAAAAGAGAGGCCTGTACGAAGGGCGTATGGAACCGAGCCACTTTGAAGTCATTGGTTTTACCCAAATTAGACGTTAATAGCATTTGTTTGCCCTCTTTTATTTGAAACCACATCTGTTGGAGTCGTGCTGTCTTTGTGTGTGTGTGTGTGTGTGTGTGTGTGTGTGTGCGTGCGCATGCGTGTGTGTGTGTGCGTGTGTGTGTGTGTGTATGACTTCAAACGCTTTCAAGATTTCATGATACAAAGGTTATATTAGTACACACTGGAAAAAAATCCCTTGAAAGGAAAGATAATAATATATGAAAATTAGTAAAATACTGTTTAAAATAATACAAATAACGTATCTATCTATCCATCTGCCAGTAGAAAAAGATTATATGACTCGACAAGATTTCTGAAACAGTGGATCTAAAAGCATTGTCTCCCAACCTTTTTTACCCTGTGTACCTCGTCACCGGTGTAGACACAACACCACTTATTATCAAGGGGAACACAAATATTTCACATTCCCCAGAACACGTTTGAGCCACGCCACAACTGCCTTTTCACTGCAAAAAGGATAAAATATGAGGTAATAAATGCTTGAATCGACTGTTTTGTCTTAATCTGAGTTCATTCTGACTGTGTTAAAATCAGATTCTCCAATGGGACAAAGCCATTTTTTCGTATTTCAAGAACTGCTGGTTTATTTTTTCCAGGAATGGACTAATAAAGGGGTATAAAATGAATGAATGAATGCTTTATTTTCTCATTCCAAGGGAGACAGTTCCTGTATCTTTTTAAAACAAGTTAATTTTGCTTTGTCCCATTGACAAATCTGGTTTTAAGGCTCACAATCTGCTCGAACTAAGACACATTTATCCAAATTTGAGCAATTTTTGGCTTGTGTTTCATCACTTTTGCAGTGTAGTGATATTGGTACCGGAAAAGACTTTAAAAGCCCTACAAATATCAATCAATCAATCAATGAAGATCATCTATAAAGCACAATTCATGCAGTGCAACCCAAAGTGCTTTACGCAGACATAAAGTCATACACATTCAGAAACATTTTAAAACACAAAGAACACACACAACACAAAAGAAACAAAAACATAAAGAAAGAAAAGTAAAATTTCAGACTGAATGTCTGAAATGAAACTGTGTGAATACTCACATGCACAGATGAATCAAACGGTTTTCAGCTTAGACCTGAAGGTAAGGCTTTGTGTACATTGCTAGGACGACTGTTCCAGATTATAGGAGAAAGGAGAATACACCTGAAATACTGCCTCCCAATGTTTAGTTCTAACTCTAGGACCAGTCCCCGTGTTGCTCAGAGTCCCAGCAGGAGGCGAGTCCCTGTGCTCCTCAGAGTGCCAGCAGGAGGCGAGTCCCTGTGCTCCTCAGAGTCCCAGCAGGAGGCGAGTCCCTGTGCTCCTCAGAGTTTGTCTTGGATGAACCAAGGACAACATGGCACAGATGTACTTCAAAACAAGACCATGTAGAGACAAACCGAGCTGTTTTAAAGTCTATTCTCTGAGCCACAGGTGCAAAGACCTGAGGACTGGACTAATGTGATCATACTTCCTGGTTTTAGTCAGGACTCAATGACCTGTACATAATGACCTAATGACCATTAACACAGCAGATCTGTAAGTCCGTCCCTGCTGCAAACAGACACAATGTAAAGTAGTAAAGGTGCTAAACATGGCAAAAGCACGGAGTGGAGGAGATGGGGGGGGGGGGGGGGGTTTAGAGTAAAGCCATAATTATGGGTTTGTGTTATTTTTAGAGCTGCAGTCAGCGACTTAGTATGTCGACAAAAAACAATAACAGAAACTTGTCCAATGCCAGCCACAGACAAACATCTACGTCGTCTGACCATGTGTCAAAGGTGAATCATGGAAGTCAATCTCTCAACTCTAAAACAAGCAATAAACAAACAAAGGAAATAGTTCGTTTAGGCCTGAGAGAAGGGAACCCCCTGTATCTGGTGATCCCGACTTCAACGATATCTGTCAAAACAACCCATGAAGAAGAACTTGTTTTATTTGCACACCTTCCCACACACATAACCTCAGGAGCTCAGCACACACGCGATGGCACACACTCAATCGTGACTCATGGTGATTACCTGACACTACGCCGCATTGTGAAACACTAGGACTACCCTTGCAGTAACACACGGTCAGGCGCAGTTTCCTCATATTTCATGTTAATCCTTCTACAGACAAACACAGGCACGCCGCTAATGGCACAAGAGCGTTTGGGCATGTCGTGTAAATGTCCCACATGATCCTTCGAGTACTGTACATAAACATGGACACTTTAAAATAACTTATGTGCAGCTGATACGATCCCAACATCGGGTCAATGTCTTCACGAACCTCTTCCTTGCCATAAAACGCTCAAACTCAACCCAAAATGTTTTGTAAAAAAGCTAAACATGTCGTAAAGAAGTGAGGCGTCCGGGATTGTTAGTGTGATCCTTCACCTGCTTTGGAAACAAGGGTCTCGCACTCATCCCTTTGACGTGTAGGAGTGAGGAATGTGGTTTCAGACAAGGGAAATTGGTTTGGTTTTTGTGTTCTATGGGGTTGAATAGAAAGTCTTATCAAAACACTGTAATGTAAACA